CCCACTGTGCTGCTCCAGCCCAGCTCCGCGGCCTCAATGTGGCTGAGATCCAGAAGAACGAGTTCAGCTGCTCCGGTGAGGGGGACAGGGGAGGCGGTGGGTGCCAGGGCAGGGACAAAGGTGGGAGGGACAAAGCCTGTCCCATCGATGCAACCCACCTCCACTCCCCGCCACATGCCCCAGCTCAGAGCCTGGGTGCGTGCTGTGGGCTCAGCTCAGGTCAGCACTGTCCCTGGTGTTGGGACAACATGGGGACAGCACCACCCTATCAATGTGACAAAGGGTGCCTCGATCTGTGCCCTTGGAGCTGCATGCCTTTTGCATGGGGTTGGGGTGCACCAGGACCTTGTGCACCCACTCAAGGGTGCCACAAGCTGTCCCAGCCCGCCAAGCTGTCACCAGGGTCCCTTCCTTGGGGTGCTGCCATCCACCCGCCTGGCCCAGCCCTTTGCGACTCCCATGCTGGCTGTTTCCCTGGCAGGACAAATGGACCTGGCACGTGCCCAGCTCTGCAGCTTGTCCTCTGGCTCCTGCCCGGCCATGTGCACTTGCAGCAATGGCATCGTGGACTGTCGGGGCAAGGGACTGACAGCCATCCCCGCCAACCTGCCTGAGACCATGACGGAGATGTGAGTATGGCCCCACACCGTCACCGCCAGGCTCTGGGTGGCTCGAGACAGTGGGGACACCGGGGCAAGCCCCACGGCTCAGCCACCCCCCAGGGCGGCAGGCCTTCCTTGCCCTTCTCCCACGCTGCCCAGATTTAGCCCTGGATTTAGCTGCATTAAAAATGTAAATAGAGAAATAATCTCCTTAGGAGAATCCAATTATGGTGCAAAGCCCCCGCTGGGAGGGCACATAAAGCACATGGGAGGCAGCAGGCACCCCCAGACCCAGGGTGCTGGGGGGGGAGGAGGTGCTCCCCCCACCCCAGCCAGCACGGTCTCCCCACCCATGGCACCCCTCCCTGGGAAAGCCCCAACCGCAGGCTGCAAGTTGTCCCTGGGGTGAATGGTGCCACACTGGTGGGGTAACTTACAGCAAGCCTGGGGGTCTTGCAGCCCCCCAGCCCTGTCAATGGGGTGCTGGGGCTCGGCCAGCCCTACAGCCCTCATCTGTTCCCCCTTCTCTTTGCAGACGCCTGGAGCTCAATGGCATCAAGTCCATCCCCCCAGGCGCCTTCTCCCCCTACAAGAAGCTGCGGAGGATGTAAGTGTGCAGCCTCTACAAGCTCACTCTGAACCCCAGCACCCTTCACCCCACTGTCCACTGCCGTGAGCCCGCAGGCCCCCACTGCAACGGGCGTGGGACACTTGCTGTGACATGGGTGCCCCACATGGCAGCACTGGGATGAGGTCTTGGATACGCCCAGCTCTGTATATAGGGTGCTGGGAGTGGTCCCCTGGACCCCGCAGGAGGATGGGGGCATGGGGAGAGAGAAGAGGGGCCCAGGCCACCTTCTCCCTCTGGGTTTCAGAGACCTGAGCAACAACCAGATCTCGGAGATCGCCCCCGACGCCTTCCAGGGACTGCGCTCACTGAACTCCCTGTAAGTGCCCACACCGGGGTGTGTGGGGTGAGGTGGGGCGGACGCTGTGCCCGCTGAACCGTGCCCCACACTGCCTCCCCCGCATCCCTCTCACACCAGCCTTCCTCTCCCAGGGTGCTGTACGGCAACAAGATCACGGACCTCCCCAAGGGCGTCTTCGGGGGACTTTTCGCCCTGCAGCTGCTGTAAGGCGCTGGTGGCTGGGTGGGATGCTCTGCAGGGACACCAGGAAGCGGGGCTGAGGTCTCCTGCGCCTGTGGTGCAGTGAAGGGGGACCCCAGCTTCACCTCCCTCCCTCCATGCCAGGCTTCTCAACGCCAACAAGATCAACTGCGTGCGGGCAGACGCCTTCCAGGACCTGCAGAACCTCTCTCTGCTCTCGCTCTACGACAACAAGATCCAGAGTCTGGCGAAGGGCACCTTCACCTCCCTGCGGGCCATCCAGACCCTGTGAGTGCCCGCGCCAGCTCCAATGCCCGGGCAGGCGGGCGCCTGGGGGGAAGCATCTTGGCGGGTAGCTGGGACTGGAGCTGGCAGTCACCCGCTGCCCCCAGCGGTGTGTCACCCACTGTCCCCGGCACAGGCACCTGGCCCAGAACCCCTTTGTCTGTGACTGCAACCTGAAGTGGCTGGCAGACTTCCTCCGCGCCAACCCCATCGAGACCAGTGGCGCCCGCTGTGCCAGCCCCCGGCGCCTGGCCAACAAGCGCATCGGCCAGATCAAGAGCAAGAAGTTTCGCTGCTCGGGTGAGAGCCGTCCCCGTCCCCGTCACCGGCGTCCTGCGGCACGGCTGTCCTCAGCCCTGCCCCAGCCTGATGTCTGTGTGCTCAGGGGTGCTGGTGTGCTTTTTTTCTCCACAGCCAAAGAGCAGTATTTCATCCCAGGTAAGAGAAGGCGCCACATGCGTGTGTGCATGGGTGTGTGCATAGTGCCCTTTCGGCCATGCTACCTGTGGGGGTGGTTGTGCCAGAGCCCCGCAGCCTGGCCCAGCAAGACCACGCTGCATTTCCCATCATTTCTGGTTGCTGAGTTCCCAGGTGCTGCGGTAACAAAAGTGCTGGGTACCGGGATGTGTCAGCATCTCCCACTGTGCCGTTATCTGGATGGGCACAGAGCGATCCGCAGGGTTCGGCTCTGGTTGCAGGAGGGGAGAGGGTGGTGGGCAGCGCAGCGCCCCGTGTACCCGGGACAAATACCCCTGCAGATAAGCTGCTTTGGGCATGGAGAGGAGTAACACGTGCGCAGTGGTTGGGATGAGGGGAGCTGGGGAAGAGACAGAGCCTGGCTGGGGTGGTGGGAGGCTCAGAGGAGGGGAGGGCAGGTGCAGCCCCCATGCCTCTGCCTGTGGGAGCCCACGCTGCCCTCGCCGGCGTGCAGGGACGGAGGATTACCAACTGAACAGCGAGTGCAACAGCGATGTGATCTGCCCCCCGAAGTGCCGCTGCGAATCCAGCGTGGTCGAGTGCTCCAACCTGAAGCTCACCAAGATTCCGGAGCGCATCCCGCAGTCCACAGCTGAGCTGTAAGAGCCTCCTTCCTCCCACTCTGCTTTCCCTCCTGCAGCCAGAGCATCGCTGGTGCTAGGGTTTGGCTCAGGGTTTGGTCTGTGCCAGGCCCTTCGCAGCCACCTCCTGAGCTCTTTTCCTTGCCACCCACCCCAGGCGCCTGAACAACAATGAAATCTCCGTCCTGGAGGCCACCGGCATCTTCAAGAAACTCCCACATCTGAAGAAAATGTGAGAATCGGGCAGGCACAGCCCTGTTGGGAGTGCCCAGGGGCTGGGAAGGCACATGGGGTCCTGATGCCAGGGCAGCCTGGGGCGTGAAATGGGGGGGCACTTCCCGACCCGAGAGTCCCCTGAGGGACTGGGCATCATGGGGTGCTCAGTGGGACCTGGGGGAGGCAGCATTCAGGATGAGGTCAGGGCAGAGCCCCCCGTTCCAGCCTGCTTTCCCCTCCACACAGCAACCTGAGCAATAACAAGGTGTCGGAGATCGAGGACGGTGCGTTCGAGGGGGCATCCTCCGTCAGCGAGCTGCACCTCACTGTCAACCAGCTGGAGTCGGTGCGGAGCGGCATGTTCAGGGGCCTGGATGGGCTGAGGACCTTGTGAGTCCCTCCTCTGCCATAGACATGGGGCTGGGAACGTCCCTGCTCCTTACTCCCCTGCCCTGTCTGCGCTGCCGGGCTGGTGCTGTCTGCATCACTGTGAGGCCAGCTTGGGAGCACCTTACCCATCCTCTGGCCCTGTGCAGAGCTGTTTTTTTGCTGCTCAGGGACTGGCTCAGGCTCATCCTGCTGCCTGGCAGTGAGGTGGGCACAGCCCGGGCACTGCCTAGGCAGGTTTCCCCCATGGCGCCCACCCAGATCGTTAGGTGCCCTCGTCCCCTTCCCTCCGCAGGATGCTGAGGAACAACCGCATCAGCTGCATCCACAACGACAGCTTCACAGGGCTGCGCAACGTCCGCCTGCTCTCCCTGTACGACAACCAGATCAGCACCATCGCACCAGGTGCCTTCGACACGCTGCAGTCCCTCTCCACGCTGTACGTCTCGGGACCCGGGGGGGATGCTCCCAGGCTGTCCCCATAGCACTGGGGGGGGCTGCAGGGGATCCCCTTGCCTGGCAGCTGCTCAGGTGATGCCCTCACGCTCCCTCCTGTGTGCAGGAACCTGCTCGCCAACCCCTTCAACTGCAACTGCCAGCTGGCCTGGCTGGGGGACTGGCTGCGCAAGAGGAAGATCGTGACGGGGAACCCGCGGTGCCAAAACCCCGACTTCCTCCGGCAGATCCCGCTCCAGGACGTGGCTTTCCCCGACTTCAGGTGTGAGGAAGGTAACTCACGGGCCCCGCGGCACCGGGGGTGAGGGGGGACTGGGCTGCTTCTCCCAGGCTGACACCATGCCCCCTGTCCCAGCACTGTCCCTGCTCCTGGGATGTCCGACAGTGCCCCATGGCAAGCCAGTAGCTCGGGGGGTCCCTCAGCCCATTAACACCCTCCCCTAATGATGCACGAGTTTACCTTCCTGGTACCCAGCCCTTAGGGCTGCACTCCAATACCCACGGGCTGCTCTGAAGTCGGGAGAGGGGTTTGTACCCACTGCACCGCGTGGCCCTTGTACGTAGGCAGGTCCATGCTGGCAACCCCTGTGCCCTGGGTGCTGGCAGAAGCAGATGTGTAGGCAAAGCCCACCAGGATTCATCCTGCTCCTTCTTCCTTCCCCTCCCAGCCCCATACACACGCCGGAGCCAGGCAGATGGAGCCGGTGGGGAGCGCGCGTGTTGAGAGAAAAGCCTTTATTTATTTATTTTTTTAATTTAGAACAGCTTTTTGAGCCCTCTGGAAAATATTTACAAACAAATCATCGTTTCTTCTGCTTTCCCTCCTCCACCACGTCAAAGACTGAAGGGTTGCATCCTGCGCCTTTCCTAGTGGTGCGAGATAACATACGGTTGTCCCGGGGATGCCTCTACCGCAGGAGCCCAGCGCCGCGGCAGGGAAGGGGGAGCAAAGCCGGCTCCTCTGGCTGCTCGGCACAGGCACCTCACCCGTCTCCCAGACACAGGCTAAAGGGAGAAGGTTATTTCAGGAGGATTTGCAGAGCTGAGCCCCTTCCTCTGTGCCCTCCTCTCTGCCGTTCCTGGGACTGCATTTTTGCTTGAAAATGGTGAAAATCAGAGCAGCCTTGAGCTGGCTGGTTGCATCCATCCTGGTAGGGCAGGTGGTTTCTGGGCACAGGAGCAATTCCTGCACTGCTGACTCTCAGCCAGGCTGGGGCTATTCCCTGCAAGCAGGCTGCCTGCAGCACCCTGCTTTGGGGGCGAGGGGAGGTGGTCAGTGTGGGAGGGGAGCAGTCCTAGGCAGGCACAAGGCACCTCGTCCAGCCTCACGCGGTGCCCGAAGGCTGGGCCCCAGTGACTTTGTGGCTCTCTGTGCCTGGTGCAGGTCAGGAGGAGACCAGCTGCATCCCCCGGCCCCAGTGCCCGCAGGAGTGCACCTGCCTTGACACCGTCGTCCGCTGCAGCAACAAGCACCTCAAGGCCCTGCCCAAGGGGATCCCCAAGAACGTCACGGAGCTGTGAGTGGCGGGCGAGTGCCCAGGCTCTCCCCCCCGACCTCCAGCGACTTCATGGCTCTGGTGGGGGGTCTCTGCTGTGGGGTTGCAGGTGTGGGGGCAGACACGCTCCCTCCTACACCCCCATCCTGGTCCGGTAGTGGGAGCAGGACCCCCGCCCAGCCAAGGAACCCTGTCCAGCCCTGAACCCAGTGAGGGGCTCAGCAAAAGCCTCTCTGCTGACTGAGGGCTACCAAAGGTGATGTGCAAGGGTTGTTGTCACAGCAGCTGGGTCCCTGCTCTTTGGCCCTTGGGAGGGGGCAGCGTGGGACAGCCGCCCCCTGCAGCTGCAGTCCCCATGCAGCTGTGAAGCCCAGGGCTGTGCGGTCCCCAGCAGCCTGCCATCAGTGACAGGGATGCGGCCACCCTGACCCTGCCAGCTCCCTGGCCCCTCTCTGCCATCACCTCTCCCTGCAGCTGCGGGGATGCTCTTGGCAATGCTGGCTCCGAGCACACAGGGATGCGATTTGCCTGGGGTCAGCTACCCAACAGCACGGGTGTCAGGGAGATACCCAGGCAGCCATGCCACGTCTGGATGTGGAGGGATTGTGACACTTGTTGCACCTGGGCTCTGCACCCGTCTGCGATGCAAGTCCTGTGTGCAGGGGGTGTAGGCACTAGTTGTGCACATGCATATGTATACCACCCCCTCACACCCCTGCACTGTCTCGCACACCCCTTCTCTTTCCACATCCTCCGCTTTCTCTCACACATGCCTTGGGAACGGTTACGGCCGCCCACGCTCACATCGGATGTGTAAACGCAGCACATGGCTGGTTGTGCTCACACATGCAAGCTGCTGGGAGACTGCCCCCGGGGACATGCACGCAGAATCCCCAGGCATGCTAATGTGCTTGCACGCCGGCTCCCCTGCCAGCCCAGGGGTCCCTCAAGAGCCTTGTGGGCCCTGGGTGCCGAGAGGGAGGTGATGCTGGAGATGCTCCTCAGCCCAAAGTCCATAGGGGTGTCTGCGCAGGAGAAATGGGAGGGCGGAGAGAGGGACCTCCTGCTTCTTCACCACTCCGAGGTGCTTTCATTCTCCCTTGCAGCTACCTGGATGGAAACCAGTTCACTCAGGTCCCAGGGCACCTCTCCACTTTCAAGTACCTGCAGCTTGTGTAAGTAGCCAGGAGCAGGAACCCAGGCAGCCAGTCCCACTACTGGGACCTGTGGGCAAGGACAGGGGCTGTCCCTGTGGTGCATGGTCCCAAGGAGGGGCCTGGTGGTGTGCGGGGACCCCCAACAGCCCTCTGTGTCCCGCCTCTGCACTGGGACACAGCTGGCTGGCAGCAACGCCCAGCCCCTGTGTGCTCACAGCCTCTGCTGGGGCTGGGCACGGGGCAGAGGGGTGACAGTGGCATTGCTGCCGGCACCCTGTGTTGACAGCCCTGCTGCTCCCTTGGAGGCCGTGCCATGCTGCTGTTCGCACCCCATTGCAAGTGGGGAAGCAGCAAGGGGGGATGGGGCCCAGCTGGCTCCAATCCCTGGGGTTTCTCTCTTCCAGTGATCTGAGCAACAACAAGATCAGCTCCCTGAGCAACTCCTCCTTCACCAACATGAGCCAGCTCACCACCCTGTAAGTGCGGTCCCTGCAGTGGTGTTCCTAGGGGACCCCAAAGACAGGGGTTGCTGGGGACGCCAGGGTCTCCCCACTCCACGTGGGTGAAGCTGTAGTTTGAGCTGGAGCTGACATGTGGGGCGGCTGGGGGGAGCATGCAGCAATGCCCACGGTGCTGTGTTACCTCCTCCTTCCCTTCTGCAGGATCCTCAGCTACAACTCCCTGCAGTGCATCCCTCCGCTGGCCTTTGAGGGCCTCCGCTCCCTCCGGTTGCTGTAAGTACCTGCTCACAGCCCCGCTCGGCCCCTTCTCTGCTGCTGGCTGTGTCCCCGTGTCCCCTGTGCCCACTTGGAGGAGGGTGTAGGCAGGTGGGCAGGGTACAGGCTGCAGGAGGAGCAAGGGGAGATGCATCAGCCTCTCGGAGCAGATGGTGCATTTGCAACAGTGACAGTGTGGTGGGATCCGGCTCTGCCACCCACGCCTGGACCCATGGGGTGGGGGCAGCCCAGATGGTCACAGGCCTTGCTGCCCGCCCTGGAGCCACAGGGATCGCAGGACCCTCTGTTCTCTGCAGGTCTCTCCATGGCAATGACATCTCCAGCCTCCCCGAGGGCATCTTCGCAGATGTCACCGCCCTGTCCCACCTGTGAGTATCTCCTGCTCTGCAGGGCGCAGGGCTGGATGCAGGTCAGGAGACCTTTAAAAACCATGGGGCTGAGCCCAGCTTCTCTGGGCTGGTACTTGGGACAGCGTTTGTGGGGCAGTGCCGTGCTGTGCCTGCCCTCCCGGTGCTCAGCCCTCAGGTCTGTGCGTGCAGCTGAGCCTCCCAGTGCAGCTGGGATGGTCCTATGGTTCTTGCTGGAGGTGGTGTGGGGTCCCCCACACACACCCTGCCAGGTCTCCAGGGTCCCCTAACATGCACCTGCATGCACCTTGCATGCAGGTCAGTCCATGCAAGGTGCTGGCACAGCTGTGGGTTGGCAGGGGCTGCTCTGACACGTGCCAGCGTGTCGTTAGCCTCCTGCCAGGATGCTTCCCTGCAGCAGCCCCCCAAATCTGCCATCAAGCATCCTCTTGCTGGTGGTGGTGTTTCAGCCCCTTTTTGAGGGAGCCTGTACCCCAGGAGCACAGCCCTGTACCCGCTGCCCGGGGAGGGGGTTCAGCTTTGCTCATGGTGACGTTTCGGTCCCTTCCCTGTCCCTGCTAAGCAGTTCCCACCCACCTGCTGGTGGCCGGTCCTGCTCCTGGCATCCTGGGGGTCTCAGGCTGTTCCTCCAGCCTGCAGAGAGCATCTTGATTTCCAGTCCTGGCCTCCCTGTGTTTTTTGGGAGCAGCACTGCTCGGTCTGGTCTTCCCTGGCTCTTCACCGATTTCCCTTGCCAAAGCGTGGTGCTGCCTTTGCCGCTGCCAGCCGGCCCTGCCAGCTCCCGCAGGGCTGAGCTGCGTCACCAGCCGGCGCTGTTGGTGCTGTAGGACCAGGTTTGTCAGCCCCAGCGGATCTGCTGTCCCTACCGCCTGCCTTCTGGGCTACCGTCTCCCTCCTTTGTCACAGGTGTCGGTCACACTGGCCCTCCATCACTGCTGACCTTTGCAGTGAAGGAGGATGCAAAGACACATCCAACCCCTCAGCCTCCCACGTCACCTGCTGCTCCCTGCCCTGCTCTGCTGTGGAGCAGAGCAACCCTCCCTCCTCCTCCTCTCTCGGAGCAATTCCTTGCTCTCCCCCTAGTGCTGTCCCCACGAGCTCTGGCCGTGACCCGCTGCTTGTCCCCAGCAGCCTGCTCCCATGTCCCTGCCCTGCAGGCTTGTGTGGCAGAGCCCAAGCTGGCCCCACAGCTCCTGTGCAATGGTCCTGTTGTTTCTGCGCAGCCTCAAGGTGCTTTGCCTGGTTTGCGCTGGGCCCAGGCAGCTTTTCCGGAGTGCTGGAGAGGGATCCCTGAGGATTTCTGTGTGGGCAGCCGGAGGAGAGCCCCAGCACAGAGCCACGGGGCACTGCGTGGGCTCTGGCAGGAGGGTCATCTAACTGGGCAGCAGTGTGGGGCTGAGTGTGCTCCCCAGACCTCCCACTGCAGGCAGTATCTCTGGTTGGTCTGGAAATGGAGGAGACCAGCCAAGTGACCAAGTCCTGTCCCATCCCAAGGTCTCTGAGCCCAGTTCCCTGCCGAGGGCAGTGGGTGCAGTTTTGCCCTTCCTCCCCCTGCAGAGCCATTGGGGCCAACCCCCTGTACTGCAGCTGCAACCTGCGCTGGCTCTCCAGCTGGGTCAAGACAGGGTACAAGGAGCCAGGCATCGCCCGCTGCGCTGGGCCCCCTGACATGGAAGGCAAGCTGCTGCTCACCACCCCCGCCAAGAAGTTCGAGTGCCAAGGTGAGAGGCACCCGTGCCGTCCGTCTGTCCATCCATGCCCTCCTCAGGCAGGGCTGCAGGTGGCACAGGGAGATGGGCTGCCTCCTGCCCCGCGCCCGGCAGAGCAATGCTCTGTGAGTCTGGGAGACGCCAGCATTTCATCTGTTGAGCTGCCTTGTGGAGGAGGGGGACTGGGATGCTTCTGTCCCCTTACCTGACTGGTGGCATGTTCCTGGTGACCGAACAAGCATGTGGCTGCCCCATTGCCTGGTGCACAGCCCCTCGGCGGGGCAGGCTCTGCTCTCAGCCATGGCTGGGGCTCTGCCCCCTCACAAACAGACCCCTCCCCATCACCCCCCATACCGACGGTCATCTCCGTGCCTCCCATCCCGCAGGCCCGCCCGCCCTCAGTGTCCAGGCCAAGTGCAACCCCTGCCTCTCCAGCCCCTGCCAGAACCAGGGCACCTGCCACAACGACCCCCTCGGCTTCTACCGCTGCACCTGCCCCAGCGGCTACAAGGTACGCTGGTCTCAGGGGTCCCCAGCACAGCGTGACGTGTCCCTGCAGAGGGGAAAGGGGCAGCGCGGGGGCTCTGCCGTGCCTCCGGGGCTCACTGCCTGTAGGACCGTCCCCCTTCTCTGCACACCACAGTGCCCTGCCGAGTGGGATGGGGCAGGGAGAGCTGGGCACAGTGCCGTGGCACCCTCCTCACTCCCACCTCTCCCTCCTTTCCCAGGGCAGGGACTGCGAGGTGGCACTCAGTGGCTGCTCCTCCACCCCCTGCGCCAATGGCGGGACCTGCCAGCCTCAGGAGGGGGAAGGAGCTGGGTTCAGGTGAGTGCTGGATGAGGACCCACAAAAGATGGGTGTTTGGGCAGCAGAGCGTGGAGCCCTGGCATCCCACAGGGATAAAGTCTGATGCTTCCTTCCCTTCCTGTGTGCTCCCTTGGGCATATAGCTGGGGTATTGCATTCATGCAGCAGCTCCAGCCCATGCTGCCTGCTCTCTGCAGCCCTGCCTGTGCCTCCTGCCAGCACAGTGCCAGCAGGGCTGAGCGCTGGCTCTGCTTCCCCATGTCCCCCAGCCCTGCAGGCTCCGGGGCTGAGGGTGTGTGGGGGCAGAGGGGGTCCCGCCACCACGGGAGGCATGGGAAGGCAAAGGGCAGCGGGATTTGGGGCTGGGATCTGGCTGCTGCAGCAGGGCTGACTGTGGGATGGGGCAGGATGCAGCCCTGCGGTCGCTGCTGCTCCCTGTGAAGCCGCTGTGCCCCTGCGCAACCCTTGCTACCCCGAATGCTTCAGGCCTTTCTGGGAACCAGGACGCAATTAGCGGCTGAAAATAGACGGCAGGCCAGGAGCGAGGAGGTGGGCTGCGCAGCCACCCGGCCCCCCCACGCTGTGGCCTCTCAGCCCGTTGTCGTGGCAACTCAGCATCCTCGCCGTGCGCTCCGCATGGGGCTGCGCACTGCCACC